AACTGCTAGGTTGGCAGGAGCTGGAACCAGAGACGGGAGCTCACTCCGTCATGCGGCACTCGGGTCTCGAACTGCTGAACTACCGACCTTCCACAGCCTGCAGTTCAGCGTCTTAACCACTTGAGCCACCGCAGCTCCCCAATATGTACTTTTAGGACCAAGCAAAATCACACAAAACACTTTGTAAGGTTTTAAAGTTCTCCAGAACTCTTAACTGGGCTGCATGTTAACAATAAAAGGGGGCCAGGGGTGGAATGAGGGGAGGATAAAGAGTCTTAATACCACGGCCTGAAGTTCTCCCCTTCTGTTTTTGGATTTTGCTTTGGACCAGCTGAGCTACTTCCAACCACCTTCTACTAAGCAAATCCTGAATAACAGAACCATAAAAGTAGGGGTTTTTTAAAGAAGAGAAAGCGGCTTTGAATGATTTGTGTGAAGTGACTGGTGTGTGTCTGTGTTCTTTACCCTTTATCTCTCCATTGCCTCTTCACTTCAGAATTACTTTCCTCCGTGGTGTTAAATGTGTTTTGGAACTCTAGAGGGGGAGGAAATAGGAGGCAATTTGGAGCTGGAAAAGTGCTGGGTGTGAAAATGAGCATCCCTTTCTGTATTCCAAACACCCTCAAAACCCATTTAATATGGGTCTCTGTTATGTTTCCAGTGCAAATTTAACATTTTACTATAATTGCTAATGCTTTAGAATTGCATGGAGATAGCTCAATCTTAAAAATAAATACACTCTGAGACTATCCCCTCTCTCTTTTTCATTCTTAACTATGAATTACATGGTGTTAATACCTGTCAGAATCTGTTATAACAAGGAAGGTAACAACCTCTTACTTTGTTAATAGAGCTCTTCAGTTTATATATATCCTCCAAAAAGTACTTAAGATTCATTAATTTCAGTACAATCCAACGATTACTTACCTGGAAGTGAGTCCCATACTTCTGAATAAGCATGTTAGTTGGCATCACTGTGTACAGGATTGTGACTTTGGTGTCCTAGCATGTGGGACCATGCATAAAATAATTCCCTTTGATTTGAATGACTAGGCTCATCTTTGTGTTTATGAACAGAAATTAAGATTCTCCAAAGAGCCCTGAGAAGTATACCAACACTGCTTACTTTTTTTCTGGTGTGGAGCCCACCTTTGGCCTCCTAGGATTTTTAAATGGGAGGAAGATCTGCAATTATAAGAGAAGGTGTAGCAACTAATATTTCACCATTAATAAAAGGGGGACCCACACTTTTAACAAAATGCAGGTTGTATTAACCCCCTTTCCCAATCAGCTAGAAGCAGAGTGTTAGATCGCTAGAAGATGATTGTTGGATTTTTCTTATTGCTGTTTTCATCAAGAAAACCTTTGATCACCTAAAAACTTTGCTACTAAAGCAGTGAAGTGGTTTAAAAAGAAAGAAAGAAAGAAATCCCCCAGTGATCAGGTTCTGAATAAAAGTTTGGCTACCCACAACTTGCCTCTCTCTTTTTCCTGAGAAGGGAGGTGTTTTTTGTTTTGTTTTTTGGTCCTGGCTGGTACCACCCACCTTCCGCCTGTGCCCCCTCCCCCACATTTCAAATCTTGGGGGGAGGGGGAGAAGGAGAGATTGGATTTCTCCCTAAACTGGCTGCCCCGGCCCTGCACTCTGCTGCCTGGAGCCGAAGCAGTCACTGGAAGAGAGGCTCTGACGTCACCCACAGAGGTAGTTTCCAGCCTGAGCTGTCAGGCCTTGTGGCAGGTTAGGTATTAAAGACACATCTAACAGCCCCCCCCCCGCCCGACCCCTCCTCTTGAGCGGCCCCGGCACACAAAGAGAGTTGTCCATCTCCTCGGCCCGGGAGGATCCAGCATCAGCTGCGAAGGCTGCCTTCTGCCAAGACCTGGATTGAAACTCAGCCGAGAGCGGAGCCAGGAGGTGAAGAGGGTGGGTGGGAGACACCGCAAGGAAGAGAATGAAGCCGACCAGAAAAAGTGAGCTAGAAAGTTGCTTGCTTGGGGTGGTTGGTTGTTCGTGCGGGTTGCCCCCTTTCCATGCTGGGTAAAACTTATTGTAAAGTGCAGAGTGCTTTGAAAGCTTGAGAAAGCACTTGCTTTGCCAGCCGAAGTAGGGGGGGGGATTTTCGTGCGGGCGTTGAGCACCCTCGTGGAGACCGGGTCTGTTTGTGTGTGCGCAAGAGTGGTTGTGATCGGTGTTTGCAAAACTCAGAAACTTTGCAAGAAGTTTGGGGGAAAGCACGAGGGAAGGAGAGGAAAGGGGGGGGGAATGCCTCCCAGGCACTCAACTATGCTGAGGGAGTGAGAGCAAAGGAGTTAGGCGAGGGAGTCGCGAAGGGAATCTTTTGTTCGGTCACATTTATTGCAACATTGCAGGAGAAAAGCAAACCAGACCCAACTTCGTCCCTTTTTTTCTCAATGGAAGAGCCTTTCCCCCCGCCCAACCCCCCCTATATATATAATATATATATAAAAAACACCTTCCTAAGGTTTTGTTTTTTTCCGCCCCCCCCTTTGCATGTTCGCTTTTCTCTCTTGATCCCAAAATGGCAACTTTCCCAATTTTCTGTTTTGCAAACTCCTCCCTCTCCCCATATGTGCCCCCCCAACCTCACGATTTTTGATGTGAATTTTCAGGAGGGTATTTTTTTTCCCTTTGCAGAGGTTATAAAATGACAGCTGGGGGGAGAGGCGATGTGTTTGGAGCAAAACCGAGGTAACGAGTGGGGGGGGGGGCGCGCAAGTTCCTGTTTCTTTTGGAACAAAGAGAACTCTGTCTAGGCATCTGTCACTCAGGCAGAGAGAGACAGAGAGAAACTTTTTTGTGTGCGCGTTTCTGGCCTTCCGATTGCTTCTATCCGTGGGTACCGAGGGACCCTTCTTCTGGGGGTGGGGGCGCTTGGCTAATCCAAAGCTTTGTCCTTTGATCACCCCATGGAAAGGGCTCGGAGGAGGAGACCTGGGGGTAAGAGCGGCGATGTAAAGGCAGAAAACATGGAGTCCCGGTTTGTTTTGTGTGTGAAGTGAGAGCGGCAGGGATTTAAAGAAAGAGTCTGGGAAAGGAGATGGAGAATTCGGCTTGTCTGCTCACCCCTAATTTTCGTCCCCTTAAAACTCTCATCTGACCTTCTCAAAGTAATGCTGATGGGGAAAAAAACCCTTGAGTTTTTAAAAGCGTTATTTCCGTGCTTCCTACTAAGTAGCAAACTTATGACACGTGATTTGTCTCCCAAAATTTCATTTAAGCCTTTAATTTGTTTCCCTCCTACCCACCCACCCCAGTTCCCCCCTCTTTCCTGCTGGGATCTGTCTTCGATGGTATTCTCTTTGTGTAGGAATGAGCACGGGGAATGCCGCTTGTTGCGGAATTAACTTCCCTTTTGCTAGCTTTTCTTTTTTTGGAGGGGGGACGACTTTTTATTTATGTGGGAAGTGGGCGGTGTGGGTCAAACGTGCCGCGTCCCGAAAACGTGTTTCCAAGCCGAGCCTCGTTGCTCCTTCCAGTATTGTTTTACATTTTTAATTTTTCCCCCTCCCTTGCTTTGGGCTGGCTTGAGCTTTTCCCATGTGCAGCTGGTGGTGTGGGCAGCTCCCAGGGCCTGGAGGAAACGGGGGGGGGGAGAGAGAAAGCTCCTCCTCCGCGCTGTTTCAAGTCTGTAACTCATCAGGGGATGGAGGAGGGAGAAGGCTTCCCTCACGTAGCCAGCAACTCCCCCTGAGCCCTGTGGCACTGCAGGAACAGGACGAGGGTCCAGTTGCCATTTTCTCTTTTTTTTCTGGGGAAGGGAGTGGGGTTTGCATCTCAATGAGGGAGAGGGAGGGAGGGAAGAGAGAGAGATCCCGACGTGTTGATCTTTGATTGCCTTCCTCCAAACAAACTCAACCGCATGTCTGGAAAAAAGGGCAGTGAGTGAACCTTAAGCAAACTGAAAGTCTGGCGGGCTCATTTGCTCACCAGTTTTATAATTAGCTCCTCTTTTTTCCCTTTAAAGTGTGTGTGTGTGGGGGGGGGACTTGCCTGTAGATCTGTGCTGAGGAGAAGCATTCGAAGTATCCTGCTGGATGCTCTTTGAAAATAATTTTCCAGCAGGTTGTGTGTTTCACTGGGATAAAGAGTTGGCTTTTGGCCTCTTTTCTAAATCACTTTAATGAATGAATTATAGATAATTAACAGCTCCAGTGACATACAGCCCTTCTCCCATATTGGGGAGGGGGGATTAATGAAAAGGTTTATTCCCTGGAACAATGCACAAGTGTTGGATGTGCCTAGAGGGTTAGCATTAAAGCAGTGAACCATATTTGGGGGAATATTTAGAAAACTTGTTATCCTTCTCCACAAAGAACAGGCTTGTAAAAAAAGAAAAAAGAAAGAGAAACTTAAGCGTTGCCCCTTACTACAAAGGATTACTTATTTCAGAACATAGCAACTTTGGTTTCCTAGAATACAAAGCGTTGCCCTGCAGTGGATTGTCCTGTGGAGGTTGGCTCAGTTGGATGAAATGTTAGCCTTCATCAGGTTTAACTCACCCTTTGCTGGAAGCTTTGCCTCAGCTCTTGCTCACCTGTGTCTAGTAGCAGTTCACATTCCCTACTTCACAGTGGCATTGAGCTGATGAACAAGGTAAATTTAATGAAGGTCTCCCTCTCTGGTTATGTACAGGTGCAACGGCATCTTTTGCACCCGTGTAATAATGCATACCCCAAAACTGTTTTCATGTTACCAGGCCTGAATCAGGACAGATCTGCCAGCAGTTCCACCATGTCAGACAGTGACATTGGGGAAGAGGATGGAATCGTATCTCTGGATCTGTCACAGGCTAGTAAGAGGAAGCGAAGGGGCAATCTTCCAAAGGAGTCGGTGAAGATTCTCCGGGATTGGCTGTATGAGCACAGATTCAACGCATATCCATCTGAGCAAGAGAAACTCAGTCTCTCAGGACAAACAAACCTTTCCGTTCTCCAGGTAAGTGCTGTTTAGCAAGTCCACCAGAGGAAGGTTTCCCAGGGATTGCAAGATTACACTGACTGTGTAGCAAATATTCAACATTGCCCATTGTGGGCTTGTGCTAAAACTAGATGATTCTAATTAGTTAATGCAGCAGGTGTCTGAACAGAAATTCTCCAAATCACTATACCAAGTAATTAGCCAATCCCCCCCCCCCACTCATGTGGTGCGACTTAGTGATCTCATACCTGTTCTAAGATGTTAGTTGAAGTCGAAAGGTGTAAGGAGTCCAGGTCTTAAGTATTCAGTGGTGATTCATTTCTCCCAAATACCTTGAAGAACAACAACAATAAAAAATCTTGCACCTTAGGGAAAGCATGTTTCTACAACATGCAGTGTAGACATTTGTTCAGTGAATTTGATTTATGGGCCAGGATTTGCAGCCATTCCTTTCCTGCTACATTGGTTTTATGGGAGAACAATCCTAAACAAGCTTTACATGGGAAAGATCCATTGAAATAAATTGTGCTTAACTTGCACATAATGAGTGTCAGAGTATCCGAATCTGATTCACAATGCCATGCTAGGCTACTTATGCCATTGATGGGATTAGCTCCAGTCTTGCATGAATCCGGAAGTTAAGTAGTTGTGTATGATTGTAACTAGCATGGGTGAGTGTACAGTTGGCATGCAAATGACTTCGAGCATTTATCAAGAGGGAAAAAACGTTACAGATACTGATATCCCTTTTTAGGGGTATTGGGGTGCCTGTGCACACATACATTTGAGTCATATGTTACAGAGGAATACTCTGTGTAAACCTCAGGATGTGTTTATGATGGATCCCTTCCTTGATCCTAGCTGATGTTCTAGAAGAACCTGATGAGAGGTTGGTCCACCACAGGTCTTGTGCCTGATTAGTGAAGCATAGGGCACCATGGAATGCAAAAATGGAAGCATGATCTTGCTGGATTTGTGCATGAAAGTAGAGGATTAAGGGTTTCTCTCAAACTCTCCACTCTCTTTGTCTTCAAAACTTCGAAGCTTTTCTGCCACTTCCAAGGTACAAGTACTGGAGAGAGAGAAGCCACTGATGTTTTTGATTTCTTGAGATCCCACCTGAAAATTAGGAAGCAAGCTTTCACAGGGTAGGGCTTACTCCTAAGAAAGTTTTCGTCCTTCCTACATTTTCTTAGGAGTACACTGCTAGGAGCTTGGATCTTAGTCTAGCAGGAGATGAACTCTGAATTGAACAATGTGTGTTTCCCTACTGTTTAAACCCCTTAACCTTCTAGGAGTACTAAGCTTTGTTAAAAGTAAGAAGCAGTAAGTAGTTCTTACTTTGAAGTTTGTATTTTTTTCTTTTAAAAAAAACCCCATTTATTTTTTATTTTATTGTTTCAACTTTTACCCCGCCCTCCCCGCCAAAGCAGGCTCAGGGCGGCTTACATAAAAACCAGTAAAACAAACATATAAGAGACGTGTTTGCATGAACTGTATATAGGATGGCAAAATATGGGCAGAAACAAGTAGATGGTTCACTTTGGGGTGTTTTTTTAAAAACAACAACAACACTGTAATAAAACGGTTCCCCAAAGGTGTTCTCTTCTATTTCCTCATCATAACAAATCCTTTTATGTGTGTTTGTGCAACAAGGAGCGGGTGGAGGAAGGAAGGGAAATTCGAAATAAAAGGAGAATTCATTTATCCCACCCAATCCGGATGTAAACAATGTTGCACTGAAATGTATGCAGTGACACCCACTCAACACATGCTCTGAATTTAGCTGCCTGGTTTGCATAGAATGAAGCACAGCTGAGGGGTTGCTTTGGGTGGCCACTACATCTGAGTTTTGGCAAGAGGATGCTTCATTGTGGGGGCTTGTTTGGGCAGCCTGTGAAATGAGCCAGGCTTTCCTGGGTATTGACTCCCTTTCAAGGTTTTCTGAAGTGTTCTCTGTATATGAGGGATTGGCCAAGACTGTGCAGAGTAACTAAATATCAAGCATCATGGTGATTCCAGACTAAAGTGAAGAGTCAGACTTCGGCTTCGCATGTTAAGTGGTGTAGGAGTTAGAAAGCCCATGGGCTTGTTCCTCCCTCCTGATTCATGCTTGGCTACGGTGTTTCTTTTGGGACACAGTTAGGGAAAAAAAATCTAAAAATCTAGTGCTTGTACTTAGATTTGGAGGTTAAAAATGCACATTCTTTTGTGCCATCATCATGTTGATAGATGCTATCAACAGGCACCCTGTATTTTGTTTTTTGTCCACATCCTTGTTCTTTAGGCATTCGTTTTAACCCATGTCGTGGTCTCATCCAGACGGTGATAACAAACATTTGTTCTTTGATTAGTATTGGAAACTGTCATTAATCCAAAACTTTTAAGCAAGGAGTAATTTTTTTGGAGGGGGTACCTGTTTCTGAAGGGGAATTGAGTTGCTTTTGGTTTGCAGTTTAAATGTGACACGGTTTCCTACTTGATTTATCACTTAGGCTCAGCAAAAATAGTAGAAGATGACAAACAGCCCTAGTTCACATAGGAAAGCGATGCCAGGTCCAGAACTCAGGGAGCCCATAGGCAATCTCTGAAGTCCTTGGTTGTTCCATGCAAAGAGAAGTGTCTGTGCTAACTCAGAATGGCTCAGCATTTTCCAGGGTGGTTTTAACCAGGATGTTGTGACCATACATTGTTGCGGATTGGTTCAGTTTTAGTTTCATAGTTTTGACTGTATAAAACAGGAAATTCACAGACTAAACTCTTTTTGAGTTGTATATAATTATACAGGGTGGCAGAAATGGTTCCTATATGTTGTTCATATGCAGAACTTAACGTTTACTTGTCTGACTTTATTAAGCTTTCTGTTTTGTAAGGAGAAGAAACATGCAAATCACTGAAAAAAAACTTAAGGCTGAACAAAATTCTAAGTTATTATGGAATTCAGAATTATCAGTGTTTCTGGCTCTTTGCAGTTCCTTCCATTGCTTTTAGCAAAATCTTTCTTCATGTTTTCCATTCTTCATTTTGCCCTATCTGCCCCCAACGCTTGTTTCGTATGTGGTACCCATTAAAGTCTGAAGGAAAAGAATGTGTCCCATCTGATAGCTGTGCATGTTTAAGAACTGGCTGTTTAACCCTTTTGAACTCCTGCTCAAGTGTAGCTTTAAAATCTTCCCAATTGTTGCTTACATGTGTATTAAAGGAAAGATTTGAACATACAGATACTCCTCTTATCTGACATGACATGTCAGATTTATAACTGTTCTGTTACTGGAGTATCAGGATCCAAGTGCAAAAAAGGTCTTGGAAGCAGCCACTGGACTCACTGCCATCTGTGTGAACTCTTGAAACCCCCATGAACCAGGTCAGAGAGATATTTCCCCTTGCAGTTCCTAAAATGCAAGTCTTTAGTGTGGCTCTTTTCCCATGTAATTTAAATGAGCATGGCAGTCCAGGGAGCCATCTGAGATGCAGGATTTGTATAGATTCTGAATCCAGGAGCACCCCTTCTGAATTTATTTTACCAGTACAAGTGGCCTATGCAAACAGGTGATATTTTGTTGTTGTTGTCTGAGGTAAACAGAGTTCTGGTTAACAACTAGTTTATCCTGTGGGGGATTTATGTATAAATATTTTAGAAGATGGGAGGTTGCCTTCTAAACTGGATCTAGTGGTAGGGCTACTGCTGACCAAGGGCCCTATTTCCTTGCGAGGAGAGGTGAGGGACCACATGCTGCCGTCAGGAACACTCAGTTGCTTTCTTTTTGCGTATAGATACAGCTGAGGCTCTTTATTTACTCTCTTAGTACATGAACATAGAAGGAACAGTCATTATCATTGTTTGGCCAACACATGGTTTTCTGGGGAATTGCCCACTCTGCTGTTTAGACGCTGGGCACTTGGCTGGTCTTGGCAAATGCCTGACCTTTGCCCCTCTCTGGAGTTTCTGTGAGAAGGAAGTGCTGGGGAGGGCAAGAAAAGCAGTCAAAGTAGTTTTGATTAGTCTTTTAAAAGTGGTGGGGGAGGCACTACAAGGCCTGTAGTATACTGTTTGGACTAGTGATGGGCAAGTGGGAACTGAAAGGCGGGCGCAAATATCCACTGGACAGAGTAGAATTTGATCTCTATGTGTATGGGACCGTCAGTGGGGGTACCCTGTAGAATTCTAAGGTCACTGGTGGACAGGCTTTTGCTCGCAATAAATTTACAGTCCAAACTAGACAATGGGGAAAGTGAGTGATGTAGAGACAAAGTTGGAGCAGGATGAATGTGGGTAAAAATGTAATTGTTCAGAATTTGGCCAGAGACTGGGAGAAAACCAAAGTCCACAAGGAGATGTGAGTTTTGACGAGAGACTTGAAGGTAGAGAAGACAGAGCAGGACACCACGGTGTGCAGTTTCCTTTTAGGTTTTTTTCTTTTTTGTTTAATTTTGGCTTAGCCTCTGTTCTGCCCCCCTCCTCCAAACTTTAGGTGCCCCATAAGAGCATTCCACCACATTGCCTCAGAAGTAAGTCCTCCAGGTTAAAACATGTGTAGCGGTGCAATCCAGTCACTGGAAGCCTGTTTTGTGATCTTTTTATCTTATTTAGCTGAAGCACCTCAGTTATCTGAACATGTTTACACAGAATTCCTCTTGTCTTCCAATATTTTATTAACTTTATGTTCCCGGTATCTTTAGGACCAAGTCAAAACAAAACTTGATTTTTACTTAGCATGGAGTGAAACGAAAGTAAAAGAGACAGGTTTGATTTGTTGCAACTCTGCAGCCAAAGTCTTGTGAAGAGTAGTCAGCTCAGAAGCTCCATTTAGAATTAACTGCTGGGCAATCAGTGCCTGGGCCCATCTTCATGTTCATAATCTACAACTGGGGTCCGTGGGGAAAGTGCCTGTCTTGCTGAATAGCCGGCAGCATTCCTCGGAGAGTTCTGAGCTTCCTTTGATAGTTTCCATCTCTCTGCTGACCAGGCCTGGCCCTCTGAGCTGGGATCTGACTGCACAAGAATGCATAGTCTGTTC